CCCGCCCCCCCTGTTCTCGGGAGCAGCAACTGGGCTGGGCTGCAAAAGAACAAATAAACTGCAGAGACACAAGTGAGGTGCAGACAGCCCAACACGTGAACACACAGCCACAGCCGTGCAGAAACACACAAATATATAAACACACAAACCCACACGTGTACAAACACCCCCCCCAGACGCTGCCAGGTCTCCTGGCTGTGCCCGTTTGCTGGACCCGTGTCTCTGGGGGTGGGTGCAGCCCCACTGTCCCAGCACAGCCCCACAGTCCCCCCCGTGGGACCCATCCCGTGGCCAATTCCACACCAGGCCTGAGCCACCCTGGCCATACAGGAGCGTAAAAGCCCCCGCACCCCTAATGACCCCCAGGCTCGTCTGTAGGTTTATCAGCGGGGGGGACGGTGCCGTAGGAAGGGACACCGGGCTCAGCACTGCGTAGTCGAGGCACCGCGGGCTCCTGTAGAAGAAACAGGAGGCACTTTTGGTGCTGCTAAACCACATTTCCTTGTGCACCACCACTCCTACCCAGCAACACTGCCCGGCCCCAGCACCCTGCTCAGTCCCAGCACCCTGCTCGGCCCCAGCACCCTGCTCAGCCCCAGCACCCTGCTCAGTCCCAGCACCCTGCTCAGTCCCAGCACCCTGCTCAGTCCCAGCACCCTGCTCGTTGCTACCCGCGGCTCGGGCAGAGAAATAAAAATACATATGGGGGTTTGCAAAGTTTCCCCGTGTCCCCGTCGAGCTGCCTGTGTCCATACAGAGACAGCAAGGCGCACACACTCGTATTTCATATTGAACTTTATCCATAGCCAAAATAATGCCAATTTGTGCTCCTATTGACAGAGATTTACTGGGAAATGTCGTTTCCATACATTCGCCTGCGCGCGGCTTCTCAGCCTTGTTTCCTCCTGGCCGGCGATCAGGGGGCTCCGGGTCCTCTCTAAAGCCCCTCAAGCCATCGGGAACGATTTATTGCTCTGCTCGAACTTGTATTTTCTTTACAATCCCACCCCCCCTCCCTGCATCAACCGCACCGGACCGGGATATTCCCTGCCAGCTCCTTCCCTGCACCCCGCGCTCCCCTCCTCCCGTCTGGCACGGAGCGCAGCTCAGCCTATAGGTAAAATGGCTCTGGCTCTCTGTGGGAAGGGAAAAAAAACCCAAACCACCCAGGATCTCCTTTATATTTGGGAAGGGAAACTCCAGGCAGGACTTGCCAGGGTCCCTCGCAGCCGCAGCCACCGGAACCGGTCCCCTGGACCGGCCACTTTCCGTCCCTCGCGATGCAAACTCTTCCCCCTCCCCTCTCCCCAAACAAAGAGGAATTTGGTGTTTGTGTTGGCCGGGAGACCTTTACTCACAGGAAACTCTTGCCTGTGGAAAACGAGGGTGAAATGTAGTGGTTTCACGCAGCCAGATCTGGAAAACCTTGGGGTTTGGTGGTGCTGGGGTTTGGTTTTATCCCCTTTCCTCAGCGAGGCCAAACCCTGGGGGGGGGGGGGTTGCGCCCATGGGTGCTGGGGGGGGGGCAGAGCCTGGCAGGCATCCCCCCCCCAAAAGCGAGGTTGGCACCGGGAGGTATCCCTGCCAGCCGCAGGGAAGGTGACTGCACATCAGGTGATCTCCGCTCCCGAATTAAAGGCGATGGTGGAGTTATTTTAAATTTTTTTACACGCACGCTCAGGAATGCGCTTCCTCCTCCTCCTCCTCCTCCTCCTCTGGGGCTGGTTCTAAATCGGGATCATTTGCGGTTGATTGTACATATAGTCGAACAAATCATTATTGTCAAATTGCTCGGATTTTGCCATCCGAACCACCATGTGTTTATTTTTTAAATGAAAAATAAATAAAAAGAGAGAAAAAAGCCGAGGAAGCCTAAAAACAACTTCTCATGTGGGAGGCAGACGGAGCTTGAAAGGGAACAGCGTGCGCTGCAGAGCTGCAGCTTCCCTTCCCCCAGAAAGGTTTCCGAGGTAACTGTTTCCCCAAAATTAGCCTCCTGAGCAGAGAGTTAAACCCCCCGGTGCAGCCCCCGCGGCTCCGCTCACTTCGCTCAAGTAGCTTCAGGTTTAGAAAGAAATAGAAGGGACGGGACAATGGAGCTCCGGGCTGGGTAAGGGGTTGGGGTTTCTTTTTTTCCCCCCCCCCATCTCTTTTCCCCCCCTTCGGAGGCAGGAATCTGCAGCCCTGCTTTTGGGAAAACATCTCCTGGTTCCTAAGGCAGGAACGAGGCCCCGAACGGCGAAGAAATGTTGGGATTTAAAGTTTGAAATAAAGTTCAGCAGCGCAAAGACCCCGCGGCAGAATCTCCTTGGAAAATTTTATATATATATTTTTTTCCTTTTTAATTTATTTTTTTTCAAGAATTTGGAAGGAAAAAAAAATAAATATATGCGAAGTGAATAAAGAAGGTGTGTGAGTAAAAAGGAATATAACTCTTTGCATTGCATTTGATTTGCACGTATCGCTGATCCGGTTGTTGCGAGGTCGCTCCGGCCCGTCCTCATTCCAGCTAATAAATACAGTAATTGGCAATTAATAAGCGTTCCAGTGAGGGCTGAGGGGTGAATTGTTGAGGAGTCAATCGTTCCGAACAACTCGCTTAGAGTAATATCTTTCACGCTTTATTAAATCTCTACGTGCACAGCCCCATCCCGGAGGGATCCGGGAGGATTTGGGGAAGGAGCAGCGACCTCGTTTAAAGGAACCCGACGTGGAAGGGAAAGAAAACAAACAGCCGAGCCGCGGAAACAAAGCGGAGGCGCCCGCGCCCCCGTCACCTCCAAAATACGGCGTATTTTAATTTTTTTTAAATATATTTTTAAATGGAAAAAAAAAAGGAAGGCACCGAGCCCCGAGGCTGCCTCTATTGTGTGCGCAGGGTGCGGGGCTGCGCGGGGCTGCGCGGCCCGCCCAGGGGTTTCTGAGGTTGGACGCGGGGGTGTGCGTGTGAAATGTTGGGGTTTTGTGACATCACGGGCCCGCGGTGCCCAATCAGCCGGCGGGCGGCGGGGAGG